AGGGCATCTAAAGGCAGTTTTGTGTATGTCTTCTTCAGCTATATAAATTTGATTGTATCCTGAATACCCATCCATGAAAGAATACATGACGTGTCCGGTAGTCGAGTCTACTAAAGAATCCACCGTGGGCATTGGATACTAATCTTTGGGTGTAGCTATATTTAAATTCCTAAAGTCTATGCACACCCTTAGTTTACCATTCTTTTTTAGTACTAGTACGATATTGGACAACCATTCGACGTACCTGGTTGTTCTAATAAAGCCTGCTTTCAATAATCGCTCTATTTCTTTCTTAATCTCAGGGAGTACATTAGGAGCAAAATGTCTAGGAGGCTGCCTATGAGGTTTAAAATTAGGCTTAGTTGGTAACCTATATTCCACCAAGTCTCTATTTAAACCAGACATTTGTTCATATTCCCAAGCAAAACAATCTTTATACTCCTTTAACAAAGGGATTAATTTATCACTAACCTCTTGATCGAGCATCTGGCTGATGAATGTTGGACGATCTTCTCCTTCATTGCCAATATTTACTTTGATCAGAGGGTCTTGTGCTTGAGCGTATCCAGGTTTGATGATCCGCATCACTTGGTCGTCCAGTTCCCTTGTAAGTACTTCTTCTTCTAAACAGTCTACCTTGTTGACTTCTCGGCCAATGCTTTGTTCTAACTCGAATACTGCTAATTTGTTTTTCAGCGCTTTCAGGGTTGTCTCTTCTTTCGCCTTGTCATTGCATTCCTTATTGAAAGCCATTAATTTGGCTTTGAAGGCCTGAATATCGGCTATTGCTCTTGTTGCTTAGAACTCATTCAAGACTCCTTAATTATTCTTTTGCCAATTACTGGCTCTTCTAGGGCCACCATATTTGGTCTCATTTGTCTGAACATTTCAGTGAGTGCGTCCACCGAAAATGGCTCTACGCTTTGCACGACAACTTGAGTTTCTTCCCCATCTTGTACTACCCTGACAGGTCCATAGTTTCCTTCGTACATGAACTTTTCCACCGAGTTTGCTTCTGCGACAAAAGGCCTATGATCGGCCTGTACCACCTCTGCTTCGCCCTTGTTATTCCAAAAAACCAGGCGTTGATGGAGCGATGAGGGTATACAGCGACTTTTGTGTATCCAATCTTTTCCTAGTAACACATTGTAACTAGTAGGACCATATATTACAAAGAAGACTGTGATCCTAGTAGTTTTCCCTATAGTTATGTCCAATGGCATAACTCCCTTAGTTGAAATTGCTCCTCCATTGAAACTCGTAAGGATGACTTCTGTTGGAATCATTTCACCCTCTGTCTTTACAAATTTCCTCATCATCCTAGATGGAACTGCTACATTGTCGACAAGCACTTTTGCCATAGGGATGCTGTTAACTAGAGTTTTAACGTATAATGGCCTCAAGTGTTTAGTCAATTTCATGGCTGGCCGTTTAAAAATAACCTTTTCGACAGCCTCTATTTCTACTTCCTGCTTGTTTTCTGTCGAATTATCCCCCTGTGATAAGTCGACGTGCAACATATCGCGCTGAGCCTCTGTCTCCTGAATTTCCTCCTTATTGTTTTCTAATGTTTCCTCATCAGTTACCCAACCTGTGGGAGGGGGCATTATTCTTGGAGGTGATCCATACTTTTCAGAGCGAGGCACTCTCTTCTTCCTTTTGGGCCTCCCGTACAGTACGTAGAAATCGAAAGGACACCCAGACGGTTCTCCCAACAAGTCTACTTCGCGAACTCCCTCTCGATGTAGTTGCTTCAACAGAGTATTGTGCGATACTCCTCTCCTTCTTCTTTCTGCTTCTTGGTCGATTTCTTTTTCGATGTTTGTCATCTCATCGTCTTCTTCATCGTTGTAGGCCTCTTTAGAAGTTTGACCTTCTTCACATTCCAGCACGCAAGCCTCTCCTTCGTTATCCTCCCTTTCCTTTTCTTCTTTTTCTTTATTCTTGAATTCATTGGCCAGTAAGTAATTATTGGCCACGACAGGATGTAACGTACCGAACTGGATAGTAAGGGGCAGATCTGGATCTTCTCCATCCCTTCTGTCTCGCTCAAACTTTGATCTCCCAGAAGAAGTTTCTGGCAGTTCTTTCATTGATTCATCTGTACCGATCTCTTCACTATCTTTGAGAACATTTTGATTGGCTACCTTGAGTAGTTTAGGCGATTTAGGATGTGGCACTCCCTGTTGCTGCCTCATCATTCGTCCATAGTTTCGTTGGAAACCTTTGTTGGGTTCTAGTCATCTCATCGAAGGGTATTGCCCTTCCTGCATTATACTAGAACGAATGTCATACATTTGGCCGGCGAGGTTGCGGCCTGAATGTTCTCCCATTATCTGCTGGCCTGAACTGCCTCTCAAAAGGCGGTCCTCTATAGAATGATGTACCTCGCCCTCTACCAGGCTGAGTGTTTGGGAAGAAAGTAGGGTGATGGGGATGCTACCATATCCCTGGTTTCTCCATGTTTCCACTCACTTCTCTTTTACATCTTGCACACAGGACGTTTTTTGTCCTTTTTTGGTTCTTTCCCCTTGATTCATTCAAAGACACTGGGATGTGGTCTAGGGTCCTCTTCTCCATCATCTATGACCAACTTGAATTTTGGCAACTTGTTTTTGAAACCAGACGTCACCATGTTCACTCCAAGTGGCTGTGGAAAAGGATTTTCATCCACTACCATCTTCTTCTTATCGTCGAACGTAATTCGTCCTGATTCAATGGCATCCTGCAATACATGGCGAAAAACCAAGCAATTATTAGTCAAATGTGACCATGCATTATGCCACTTACAATATTTTTTACCCTTAATTTGTTCAGGGTTTGGCAATTTATGCTCATCGCTCAGCTTTATCTGCTTATCCCTATATAATTTATCAAATATAAGGTCAGCTTTGGTTACGTCGAACGAGAACGTTCTAACCTTTATGTTTCCATCTTTCATGGGCTCATCTTTGCCCGATAGTCCAGGCTTAGCCATTATAGGACAAGTATACGTGTCTCCTTTGACCAATTCAGTCAAACACATTTCGACTTGATCGTATGATTCGTCGCTGATAGTATGAACGTCAAAATTTGGGTCTTTGTAATAAGTCCCTTTACTAGAATTTTTCATCTGCTCTTCCTCTCTTATCAGTCGTTCATACCTAATCACATTCACACTCAACTGGAAAAGGTCAGGAAATTCCTTGTCCTAGAATTTCTTTTTTAAATCAAAGCTCAAACAACCCTGAGCGATTTTGACAAATTCTTTTTCGGGCAGAGGTACAAAACACTTGCTTCTTGCTGTCTTGAACCTTTGGAGAAAACTTTCTGTCCATTCGTTTGGCATTTGACGTAGATTCGCCAAATCAGCAAAAGTGACTTCAGACTCAGTTTTATAAAACTGAGCGTGGAATAATTGTTCCAATTGTTGTCATGTTTGAACAGAGGTCGCTGACAAGTTGATGAACCAGGAGAAAGCTACTCCTGTTAATGAACTAGGGAAAAACCTCATTTTATGGTAATCAGTTACATCACCACTTTGCAATGTGAATCGCCCTATATGTTCTAGAGTAGACACCTCTCCTAAACCGGCAAACAGTGAGAATTCTGACACTTTATACCCTCTAGGCCACGGATATGCTTGGTCTACCCAATCAGGATATGGCTTTGTGTAAGTCGGCCTAATGACAGGACGTACCCTAAAAGTCATCTGATCCTGTACGATTTCCATAATCTGATTCCTCAACATGACGTTAGGGTCATATGGAATTCCTACAGGTTGGTTAACCGGTTGATTTGCATAAGGCCTAATGTTTGGTCCTTATTTGGCAACAAAGTTATCATGATTAGGGCCATTACCAGTAGCCTGAACATCTATTCCCTCATTAACACATGGGGTATTCTGTCCATTGTTTAGGATATTATCTCTTACATTAGGATTACCCCCCAAGTTAGGCATACCACTACCATTGTTCTGATTTGGCACTGCACCACCCCTTTGGTTTGAAATAGAGGGACCAGAAAGTGGTTCTATCCCTTGATTCGAATTTGGGACTGAGGGATTATGTCCCACAATTGTCCTAATTTGAAAGTGATTTGCAAGAGGCATAACCGGTTGACATATTTGGCCTACTAACTTATTCATTATTTCGTTCAAAGTGTTTAGTTGTTTGGCCATTTTGTCATAATGTGCATTTCCATTTTGGGTAAATCTTTCCATATTATGAATACTTCGAAGAATTACATGTTCAACGACATCTTATGTGAGTTCTCCAAGTAATACACGCATGGTTCGAGGACTCAACTCTGTCATTGGTTCGTAACGACTGTTACTGCTCTGATTCTGTCCATCTGTTCGTGGAGAGGCATGCTGCTCCTCATATCGCTCAATTACAAACTGGATTTCTCCCTGACTTGCTGCTTCCTTATCGAATCTCTGAAGCATATTGTTTCACCTTTTGTATTTTCAACATCAAACACCACTGTCCCACTGGGCGTGTCAAATTTTTTCTCGCGGATTCGTCGCTAACAATTAAAAAGGGATCAGACGATTGTGTAAGGGACAAACGTCTTGAGATAAAATCCCAAAAATGGGTGTTCTTTATTGGCGATGACTTTACAATCGGAAAGTAAAAACAGAATGCCTCTAAGGGGCGCAAGCACACGAGTTACTGAAAGAAGTGTTTAAATCTAAACTAAGAAATTTAACATTACATGTTCTCTGTTCGAGAGTTTTTAATTCCCCTCTTTGCTCTATGTCTTTCCTTCCTTTTATACTCACTGGATGATCTCTTTGTGATCAACTGCCTAAAAACTCCGTGATCGTTCTATAACTGCCCACTTTTCTCGTAATGGTCAACTTATCATGGAACTGCATTTTCTAACTGCTGTCATTACTCTTTGTCGTTCAACCGTCTTCAATTGAGTTCCTTGAATCGTGGAACGTGATAGGGCTGCTTTAATAACTGTTTTGATAACTGCACTTCTTGATAATCACAACACTTCATGTTTGCTAAGACTTTGGGCGACTCGAAGATTTGGGCGATAATAGAGTAACAGCTCTGGGCGACTGCATGACACTCCATTCGTTCAGTTCCTGGGCGACTCGCAATCTTGGGCGATAGTGTTACCGCGTTCATGGGCTTCCCTATTTGGGCATTCATCTTGAATTGTTTGATTGGGCTTCGTTCTTTGGGCTATCTAATTTGGGGATCCTCTAATTGAGCTTCATTCCTTGGGCCGTTCGATTTGGGCTGAATTTTTATGTGTCAACACAGACAAAATGGGAATTTTGAATTTGATTTGGAATAGCATATTTACAGACAAAAGCTAAGTCACAGCTTGGTGAATCGTGAAACCAAAATGACGGGGAATATGAATCGTAAGTGTAGATTTAGTTGTTTATCAAATTGACATACAAATAATTGTAGCATATTCTCGAACCGTGAATCAAATATGACAAGAATTTATAAAACAATTACATTTACAAACTGGAAATACTAAGATCAGATTATGGATTTCTACAGCAAAGACAAACTTCTTGATGCCTAGACAGTAAAGAAAGAATAGAAAGATGATCAACTCCACAAAAAAATGGGGATATGTTTTGCCAAAAAATGATGCTTTTTTGAATTCTGCAATGTGTTTTGAAAGGGCATTAACGGTCGCGTAATACTAGGGATAATTATAATATAAAATAATTTCTAAAATATTTATCACATCACAAACTAGTAATTGCATTTTAAAAATCACATAGTAAATACTAAATTTTTATTTTGTAACGTTGTAGGTACAAAAATTCCCGTACGTTATACTAATTCTGTCCAGCCCTTGATTTTTTTTTTTGCCGAAAATGCTATCTCGATCTTATATTAGGTTTTCAATGCAAGACATGAATGAAAATGCTCAAGAGTCATGACATTATTTCTATCTTTATGTTGATATAGCTTGACTACTGGAATGATATCGACGACTACTTTCATTTCTAACTCTAGTCTATGAAGCCCTTGTGTGGGAGTGATTTTTTGAAATTTACTTTTTCCATGCTCATTTTCAATTCCACACTTTTAAAAAACTCATACTTTTCAACCACAATTTTTCAATAATAATAATAATACTTTACAATAAATCTCTATGACTTTGTTCAGCAAGATCATGTTATAAACAAAACATTTCCTTCCAATTTTTTTGCCAAAACAACTATGTTAAAATTTGATTGAACTAGCTTGATCAAATGTAAAAATTGAGAACCAGGTCCGACTTGCATTGAAAATCGAAAAATTGCAACCCGTTAATTAGATCGTAAACCGCCCCAGTTCATCTTCAAAATTTAGTTTTCCTGTTCCCTTTTCCCTCCCGTTCAACCGCAATTCAATTATTTGACCCGTTTAACACTAGACATTTTTCTTTATTAGTATTATTATTTAATGTCCCAAGTGAATTTTAAAACAATACTAATCACACGATGTTAAGCCCCTATTTGATGGTTATTATTGTGTAAAAATGATATTTTGAATAATGATTTTTTGAGACATGTATGATTAAAAAGTGGAGAAAAGTTTTAAATTTACATATAAAATATTTTATTATGTGAATATGTAGTTAAAAATATTTACAAAAAATAAATTATTTTGTTTCAATGGGTGTTACCTTACTCTACCATTGCGTCAATGAGTGTCAGTCAGTGTATTAACAAATGATATTGTACCCCAGAACATAATCCAGTGGTGCAAAGGACAAGAGTGAGGTAGTCTCAGTCTTCTTGCTGACAGTCACAGTGTGAGGGTTCGATTCCTGATATATGGAATTTGACTCTTTGTGGGCACCAGTGTACGGGCAAGCTCTTATTCCCTGATCTGTTGAAACACATCTCGTGATTTATCTCTCTCACCATGCTTCAGGGACGGGACGATAGGGCCTCAAGATTGGAGTTCAACCTTTTTTTAAACAAATGATATTTCCTAGGAGAGAGAGAGAGATTACCTAAAATTTTGCACAAAATAAAATCAGAGGATCAGGTGCAGCCTGCACCTTATATGTCTCACAAGTTGGCCAATAGAATTGCATTAAAAACTATTTTATCAACCATTTTGTTGCTTTCTATTGGAACTTGGGAAAAACAATGGATGTAGACAATGTACCGTATCCAATCACAAATAAATAATGAATTACATGGATGATACGAATTTAAGAAAAAATGAATTTTAGAATAGTAGATTGATGGAGAATGTGTGGATAAAAAATTTTTGATTTACGTGTAATATTACTTTAATGAAGGAAAATAAAAAAGAGAAAAATGGATTTTGAAAAAAAATAAAAATTAAACTAGGCCGTATTTTAAATTTCACATAAAGAAAAAAAAAATAATATATACTTGATGTTTATTGTACCTTCATTGCTATTTTAGCTTCATTATAGTGTTATGACCTTTGTCTATGTTGTAGATACTCAATAGGAAATCAGTTGTGCTGTGTGTACAACCGGGGTTGTCGATTGTCAGTTGTGCTATGTGTACAATCCCGATTGACAATTAGACATATAGGAGGGGGATCCCAGTTGTACAAGAAAAATAATTCATAGGAGATTAGGTGTTGAAAGAAGTCATTGAACCTGTCAAAAGAAAAGTCTTCAATGCTTTTTCTTTTAATTTCATGCACTTCTATTTTTCAAACTAATGTTTATTTATTTATTCTTATGGTTTCTGGGTATAATAGTGTTACCAGAGCTAGAATTGAAAAGTTTGAGATTAAAACTTGGTGAAAATAAAAATTTGAGAAGTATATGGAAAATTGAAGCTGAATCTTAGTGAAAAAATAAATAAATAAAGATATGTAACTGTTGAAACACACTCTTGAGTCCTATCTGTTGTATTTTTCATAAGTGGTGACGTAATCTATCTCTGGATATCGTGTGGATGAATTTGGATATTTCAATATCCAAAACCACCTATTTACTTCGAGTATTTCGTAAATGAAACCATTCGAGTCTTCGTAATTATTGAAATCAAACCCAAACCCGAACTGTCAAATCAAATTCGGGTTCAGTTATTCTCATAACATATTTCTTATATACATTTGATAAACATTTTCACGTAGACCCTCTCGATACGAGTACTTAAATGCCACACTCAACAATATTTGTGCAGAAAAAAAAAATCTTCAAGAAGCTAATAAAAACAGTGACTTGACTGAAAAAGTGAGAACTAAAAATCAAGAAAAAAATGAGAAAATTAAAACATCAAAAATTAAATTAACGTTTGAGAACAAATGATTTTTTCTTTATAAATCTTATTTGATCCATAAGGGAGGCATGCTAGACACTATAATTTAGTTATAGACCATTCCTAGATTTTTCTACTCTTAAAATGCACTGACATAAAAATACTATTAAAACCACGAAATCGAGATAATCAAAAATTTATACCACATCCTAAGTTATGAATATATCAAGTTCGACCGCTGTGAATTATAAAAAATAAAAAATCACTTAAGTTTGTAAACAATGTAAGAAAATAAAAGACTTGAATTGCAAAGAATAAACACTTTGATGTTTCAACTTACACCACAATCATAGCTTGAAGTTTTTTATTTATAGAAAGCACAAATTGTAAATATGAACCAATCTCTGATATACAAAAATCTGATACGAGGCGAAAGGTAAAAAAGTAAGAGTGGGTCTTAATTTCTAAGTGTTGGAGTCTAAAATTTTAAACAAATAAATATCCAAATTAGGGCTTTTAGGTTTTGTATTTTTTTTTCACCAAGCCTATAAATTGTAAAAATTAGAAATTATATAAAAAGTGGTCCATTCGGGTATCCATGGTCATAATTTATTCTTTTTTTTTTAATCGGGTTGGAACCTCTGGTTCCGATTTCGATTAAAATGACCAGACCTAGGGCAATCTAGTATTTTTTAATTATTTGTTTTTTCCCCTAAAATTCAATCCACAAAACTTCAAGAAGATTAATCTTTTTCCAATAGCTCATTTGAGGCCTTAGGAATATGAGTTAATGTACATGTTGTGTACCTGAAATTTTGAAGGAGATAACTCATATTTTGATTCATAGTGTTCTTTGATGAACATGTGCTTGTCTTTGGTGATTCTTGAGTTTAGCCTCCCTTTGTCTACCATTAAAAGAATAAATTAGGACCTATATTTTGAGCAAGAAAATTAATTTAGTAACTTTTCAAATGGTCGCAACTAAAATTGAATTGAATATTTTTATGAAAGAGAGGATATTAATATGTGGGGTCTGAGATTAAAAGCAATCTTAATGCAACAAAGATGTGTTAAAAGTTTTAGATGATTCTTGGTATGCTCACATTACTCCAATTAAGAAATCAGATCTACAAGAAATTACTTGCAGTATCATATTCTTGTTTTTAGCTGAAAATATCATGGAACAATTGGTGATATGAAATTAATATGTGTAAATTATTCCAAACAGTGTTTCTTGTTTCACACTGTTTGTAATCATTATTTTCTTTTAAAATGGATTTATTTGTTGACTTTGATGAAAATTGTATGGTATATATTTACAAAACTAACCCAAAATCTTGCCAATTGTAATTAGGGTTGGCAAATCTCTCGAATCGAATCGAACCCGAACCGAACTGAACCAAACTCGACGGTTCTTGTCAAATTAAATACCCGAACGGGTATCTGAATTGAGAACCGACGGGTGTGGTTCGATTCTCGGCTCTAGACAAATAACCAAAAAATCGAATCTTTCTAATTTTTTTTATATTGAGTAAATCAAATTATATTAATTTGAATTTTTCTAAACAAATTAACAATTTTTAAATTCAAATTTTTGGCCCAATAATTTGTTTCATTTCTAATTTTTTAATTTTTGGCCCCATTACCCATTTTATTGTTTCATTTCTTAGCCCAACAAGATCTAATCCACTAAATAACTCTAAACACCTACACTAAAGTGAATAACATTATCTCAACTCTCGCACTCACTCTCACAGCCTCGCTAACATTTCAAAACCTATACAATCGTCGGCCGATATTGTGACCTCCGATCGAAACTGCGACATTCGCCGACCGAAGCTTTGATCGTAGCGATCATTTGAAGAAGGTAGTCTATTAGTCTATGGCATTCCAAAATCATTGAATGTACCATTAGTTGTA